TCAACTTGCCATTAAGTGGACAGGACCATACAAGGTGCTGTTGAACACTCACTCCTCTTTAAATTAGTGGGGATAAGACCATGGATTTACCACACTCAAGTATTAATCACTCTTCCGAAACCTGGATGGAACAAAGAAAAACAGACTTGGTCTTATGAGCCATTGAAAGTGAAAGTGAAAGTGATAGTCGCTCAGTCGTGTCCGACTCTTTGCGACCCCATGGACTATACAGTCCATGGAATTCTCCAGGCCAGAATACTGGAGTAGGTAGTCTTTCCCTTCTCCAGGGGATCTTCCCAAGCCGGGGATGGAACCCAGGTCTCCCACATTGCAGGTGGATTCTTTACCAGCTGAGCCACAAGGCTTAAATTGTTATTTCAAGTCAGACTTCCTACCAGATAAGGAATGATGACTGTTGCTCTGCTCTTTGTTTCACTGCACTGGCGACAGACAGGGAACTTTTGGAAAGGACCAAAGGAGGAAATAACCTTCCCTCTTTTATAAAATGTTTGCATGTGTGCTCAGTCGCTCAGTCGTATCCGACTATTTGGGACCCCATGGACTGTAGCGCACCAGGCTCCTCTGTCCAATAAAACTTGCTTCTCTTTGTAAAAGACCATTGACTTGGTATTTTGTCTTTCCATTGTGTAGCAGGTCACAAACCCACTTGCTCCGTTACATTTCTAGTTATAAGATATAGGTTCTAATGAGGCTTCCCCGGTGGTTCAGACGGTAAAGCGTCTGCCTGCAATGTAGGAGACCCAGGTTCGACCCCTGGGTCAGGAAGATCCCCTGGAGAAGGAAATGGCACCCCACTGCAGTAGCCTTGCCTGGGAAATCCCATGGACAGAGGAGCCTGGTGGGCTACAGTCCACGGGGTCCCAAAGAGTCGGACACGGCTGAGCGACTGCACTTTCCTTTCCTTTCCTATGTGTAGGACAGTGACCATGAATTTTGTTATTTTTGTTCAGCCACTAAGTCATGTCTGACTCTGTGATCCCGTGGACTGCTGCACTCCAGGCTCCTCTGTCCTCCACTATTTCCTGGAGTTTGCTCAAACTCATGTCCATTGCGTCAGTGATGCCATCCAACCATCTCATCCTCTGCCACCCGCTTCTCCTTTTGCCTTCAGTTCTTCCTAGCATCTGGACCATAGTTAGTAATATTGTATTGTACGCTTGAAATCTGCCAAGAGTAGATCATAAGCGTCCTCACCACACACTCAAAAATTAAATCGGTACAACGTACACCTTTTAAAAATCACATACAACCTGAACATTTACAAGTTTTGTCGGTCAAATCTCAAAGAAACTGGCAAAAACAAAACAAGAGCACAAGAAAGATATCCAGACAAGGGCTGAGGCTCTAGGGGGAGTCCCCAAAGGAAAAGCTGATGGAATGAACTGAACACGAAAGAACTAAAAATGAGGTGAGGGAGCGGGCCATGTTCTTGGGTGGTGAACACGTTGGTGAGGGAGAGAAGCAACAGAGAAACGTTTTCCATCCCAGACTCAGAGTTATCACCCCTTAGTGAGGGGCAGTAGACCTGCCTCAAAACCACCTTCAAAAGTGAGGGGGATGACACAACTATTTCTCGAAAGCCAGCTATCTATGGGAGTGTTCTGGGGGCGAAGAAGTACCCGTCAACAAGACAAAGTTCCTGCTCTCATGGTGCAGAAGGGGGATAATCAGCAAATAAACTAGAGGGCATATTTATGAATCTCCAGATGAAAGAAAGTGGCATGAAGAAAACTCACGCCAGGTGAAAGTTCAGGGAGTGGTTGTGGTGAGAATAGTTTGGCAGCAATCTAGATTGAATACTCAGAGAAGGTCTCTCGGGGAAGGTCACATTTGAGCAGTAGCTTCAGTGAAGTGAAGGCGTGAGGCACGTGCACATTTGGGGGCAGATGACCAATGCTGTGTTCAAGGAGTAGGAAGCAGCCATCGTGGCTAGAGCCTCGTGAAGGATGCAGGACGAGGGAGACAGTGGCAGGAAATTATGAGGGAAGACCTTCAGCTCTGGCTGCTGCTGAAGGCAGGTAGCCTGGAATTCCTGAGGCTTTTAGCTTGATGTCCCCTTCCCTAAATTCTTCCTACGCAAGATATCATCTCATTCTTCCTCCTGGTGTAAGTCTTCCTCTTCCTAGTGGAGGGCTCTTTCCTTTTCCCATGGCTTGGTTGTCCACCTACAAGGTACTTTGTCTATTGCAGGTCTGTGTGCTACAGTTTAGAAGTCAACAGAGCTAAAAATAACAAAGTCTCGATGGAGTGCAGTGATAAATCTGCTAAATTCTGCCGAGAGCCAGAGGCAGTAGGGAACCAGACGGCACGGGCCCCAAGCACCCTGCGCAGTCTCTTCCCCTAAGAAATCATCACAAAACTTCTGGTCTTGATCTATTGATCTCTTTCACCAGTGAGAAATGCACTTTTTGATGAAAACAGCTCTTGATAGATTTGCTCCTTCCGGAGGTGGTGAACGCACCAGCCTTGTAAACAGAACAGCCTCTTACACTGTGATGCTGATTTTAAAGACAGACAAAAGAAAACAGTAATATTTACCTAATTATGAAGCAACGCATATTTATTTTTGGGAAATTAGACATGCAGAAAGGTATAAAGAAAAATCATCCAAATAACACCACCTGGAAATAACTATTATGACATGTGTAATTTCATACAGTTAAACACTTAATACGTGTTTGAGTATACCTGAGCATTTGGTAGTGACAATTTTGTATCCTAACTTTAAATTCAGCGTTATTTAGTAATCAGCTTTCCACTGATAGTGCTTTTTAATTCCACAGACTGGGGTTTAGGCTCTGGTGATGCCAAGGAAGCTAGTGCGGGGAGAGGTTGGGGCTGGCAAAGTCGGAATTCTGTCCCATGTGGTTGTTTTCTGAGATAACACTGTTGAGTTACAAACTGGGCAGCTCCTTGACCCCCCTCTCCAGTTCATAAGGGTGTATTCTACAAAGAGGAGAGAGGAGACTCAGAGACCTGGGGACTGGTTTTCATTTAGCTGATTTTCTTATTGAGTGTGTAGCTGTCATTAGAACTCGTTTCAGTGCATAGTGCATTGCTGAGGAACAGATACATACACACCCACACAAGTGGCATTAAAATGTTCTGACTGCCCCTACCATGGAATACAGTGACTTCCCAGGTAGTTCAGTGGTAAACAATCTGCCTGCCTACACAGGTGACCAAGTTCAATCCCTGGGTTGGGAGAATCCCCTGTAGTAGGAAATGGCAACCTGCTCTAGTATTCTTGCCTGGAAAATTCCATGGATAGAGGAGCTTGGTGGGCTACAGTCCATGAGGTGGGCTACAGTCCATGAGGTCACGAAGAGACACCACTGAGCGACCGAGCACTCACACAGGCATGCACACACCACGGCATACACATCCTGACCTTTATCCTAAAAAGTGGGGCTTTCTAACCAGAGAAACTGGCTTATTCTTTAGTCTTAAGAGATAAGGGGAGCCGTCTTAATCAAAGATACTATCAGAGATTAACTGGTCTCTGCCTGACTTGGACATAACAGTTCTCTCCTTATTTTTGGCCCTGCTGAGCCTCTAAATGATATTTGTAATGAGTTCAGCCTATAGATAGTTTTTTAAATTGAAGTTGATTTATAATATTGTGCTAGTTTCAGGCATACAGCATAGTAACTCAGTTATATAAATATATATATATTCTTTCAGATTGTTTTCCATTAGAGGTTATTACAATATATTGAATATAGTTCCTTGTGCTATACAGCAAGCCCTTGTTGTTTACCTAGTTTGTATATAGTGGTGTGTGTCTCTTAATCCCATACTCCTAATTCAGCCCATGGAAGATTTTAGCCACCTTTTGCATTTCTACAATTTTGATGTGTTTGTTATCTTCTTTTATTCCGATTGTGGCCAAGGCTAAAGCAAGAATCAAACATAGACCAAACCCATTTCTTGACCAGTCCTAATCATATCATATAGACGACTTTATTATCCTTTCTTCATATCAGAGCACAGTGGATCCTATGATACACTACACCACATGTAGCAGCCACTGTTAGCTCATTCCCCCTTTCTTCAGCTTTGGCCACAGTAAGAGTGAAAGACCAAAAAATGTGCTAAAGAGGAAGGATAGAAAGGCTGAATAAGCATGAAATTGTGACTGGTCCAAGTCAATCAGAACTTTTAATCTCTTTGCCAGATATTCACCTTTCAGTCTGTGTTGCAGTCAGAGATGTCTCTTTGATCCAGTTCCCATCTTGGGCATAGAAGAAATTCTGGAAAATATTTCCTTCTTGATGAACAGGAAAGGTGTTTTTCCTTTGCCCCCTTTTCTCATCTTTGAATGCTGTGTGAAGACTTAAGGCCTGGAGTTTCAGTAGCCACCTTGTGACCTTGTGACAAACGTGAGGATGCAAGGTAGCATGCTTAGGATGCTGAAACTCAAGGATGAAAAGTCGTTGGGTCCCTGATGACATATTTGAGTTGCCAGTCAACTCTGAAACTGCCCACTTTGGGAATTTTCCTTAAGAAAAAGAAAATTTCCAATGGCTTAAAGCACTTTTCTTGCAGGTGAACCTATCCTAATTGGTGCAAAGAATGGTCAAAGAGTGAGAGGTTAAGCTTTTCTGAAGGGTATCCTCAATGTTGTAGTAACAACAAACTCAGTTCAGTTCAGTTTGGTCACTCAGTTGTGTCCAACTCTTTGCAACCCCATGGATTGCAGCATGCCAGGCTTCCCTGTCCATCACCAACTCCCGGAGCTTACTCAAACTCATGTCCATTGAGTCAATGACGCCATCCAAGCATCTCATCCTGTCATCCCCTTCTCCTCCCACCTTCAATCTTTCCCAGCATCAGGGTCTTTTCCAGTGAGTCAGTTCTTCACATCAGCTGGCCAAAGTATTGGAGTTTCAGCTTCAGCATCAGTCCTTCCAATGAATATTCAGGACTGATTTCCTTGAGGATGGACTGGTTGGATCTCCTTGCAGTCCAAGAGATTCTCAAGAGTCTTCTCCATACCACAGTTCAAAAGTATCAATTCTTTGGCGCTCAGATAACAAATCCAATTTCAGGAGTTGACCAGTTGGGTGAACAGGGTACATTTGTCTTCTAACTGGTAGAAGCTGATCTTTACAAAAGATGGACAGATTTAAATTAGCAAGTGGCCAAAAAAGAACCAACTAGAATCTATATTTCACCAAACTTTGAGTACAGCTATATGGCATATTCTTTAAAATATACTCTCTGTTACATCAAAAACATGTTGACATTAGTATAAATGTTTTTGACAATACCCAACAGAGAAAAGTAACCTATATAGTATAAGAATGGGCTGCCCAGGTGGCACTAGTGGTAAAGAACCCACTTGGGAATCCAGGAGACATAAGAGACCCTGGCTAAGGAAGATCCCCTGGAGGAGGCCATGGCAACCCACTCCAGTATTCTTGCCTGGAGAATCCCATGGACAGAGGAGCCTGGCAGGATACGGTCCATAGGGCTGCAAAAAGTCGGACATGACTGAAGTGACTTAGCATGCTTGCATGCATATTATAAGAACAGGGAGTTAGAGTCTGAATAGAGACTTTTCAAGGAGCTCTGGTGGAGAAGGCAATGGCAACCCACTCCAGTACTCTTGCCTGGCAAATCCCATGGATGGAGGAGCCTGGTGGCTGCAGTCCATGGGGTCGCACAGAGTCAGACACGACTGAAGTGACTTAGCAGCAGCAGCAGCAGCAGCAACAGTAGCAGCAAGGAGCTCTGGAAGGCACTAAGGAAGAGAATGAAGTTGAGCTGGCACATGCATCCATCTCAAAGCAGGTGATACTAATTACGTGTTTTCAGAACCAAAGGAAATCAGAAATATCTCTTGATTTCAGCTACCTCACAACTAAACATTTTAATTTCCATCAATTTTTAGTGAGTGGGTATTCATTTTGCAAATCATTACTTACAGCTCTAAATGGTCCTTTTCCTCACAGCACCTAAAATATTGTTGGGTCTATTTAAAAACTGAATTATAGAATCTCATCAGGAACATAGTATTAAGGAAAGTTCCTTAACTTTAAAGTCAGACCAAGAAGAATTAAAATTTCCTGATATTAATTAGCTGTGATTTTAGACATATTACTTTATACATTTGAGTCTCATTTCTTAACTGAGAATAATAATGCCCATCACAAAAATCTGTTGGATGATTTAACTAAAGAATGTAAAGTATAAAACACACAGTAGATATTGATAAGTAACAGGTTCTGTGTCAATTAAGGTCTAACAGGAAATAGATGGAATATTCAAACTGGGATATTTTAAGTTTTACTTTTTCTTTAAAAATTATTTCCAATGGTGGGCAGGACTTAGGGGAACTACCTCTAAGAAAAAATTCCAGGGTAAACAAATAAAGTTGCTCTCCAAATTTAATTTACAGGATTGTTTATCACATCATTTTTGTGAACTTGGGGAACATTAGGAAGCTATCCAGATGCCTAAGTATAGGGGATTGTTATAGTCACATAGCTGAATATCAAAAAGCCACTAAAAATAATATTGTAAATGTATTTACATCAAATATCTTACTAATGTAGTACTAAATGAACAGAGCAGGTTTAAGACATCATGGAGAGTAAAATCTCTTTTGCTTTAATTATATGTATGTTTATAATCTACATTTATACCTATAAATTAATATTTAAAGTCAGACCCTTAAGATTCTTCTGAGATCTTTCCTGAATTGCCAGTTTTCTCAGTCCTGAAAAAGATAGAAAGTTTATTTTAGCTTTGGGGAGATAGGAGTCACCCTCACCCTGATTGGGATGATTTACATTGAGTGGCCAGAATTCTGTTCAGTAATGAGCCTTTGAAAGCTGTGAATCAGAGCTTTCTCTGAGGTGGGATGGGGTTCAAAGTGAAGGTGGAAAAATTGCTCTTGCTTGCCTAGGAGTTTAGAGCATGCTGCCTTGCCAAGTGTTGCTTGTTCCTGTGCGATTAACGATGCGTGGGATATCTGGGAAACTGAAAACCGCATGAAGGCTGTGAAGCAGTATATTCCCTTTAGAACAGAGACCATGAAATTGAACTGGCCATGGTTTAGCTCAGCACAGGCTGGATGACTGAAGTCCATGTATGGAATCACTTAACACAGAATAACCCAGAAAGCACAGCTGCTGGCCTACTGTGGTCTGAGTCCGTTTTCTGGCTATGCCTCTGAGGGTGGAGAGGAGGAGTTTCATCAACAGGGAGCTCAAACTGAAGTGCTTTCACTGTGACAGGATGTAATGGTACTTTTAGGGAACACATATACGCTAAAGAGTGTTCTAAGGTTTTCTTGAACTATTGCTTTAAGTCCTCTAAAAGCTCTGTGAAGGGGACTTCCTTGGTGGTCCAGTGGCTAAGAATCTGCCTGCCAATGCAGGTGGCAAGGGTTCAATCCTTGGCCCGGGAAGATCCTACATGCCGTGGAGCAACTAAACCCCTGAACCACAGGTGCTTAGTCCTCACTCTAGAGCCCGGGAGCTGTAACCCGCTTCAGCAGGTGCTCCTAGAGCCCTCAACAAGAGAAGCCACTGCAACGAGAAGCTTGTGCACCGGAATAAAGAGTAGCCCCTGGCTGGCCAAAGCTGGAGAAAGCCTGCATGTAGCAACTGAGACCCAGCACAGCCATAAATAAGTAGATTAAAAATTTTTTAATTAGGTTTTAGAAAAAAGCCCTATGAGAAAGACACTGTTATCAGTTCAGCTTTACAAACTGAAGAAACCTATACTCAGAGAGGTTAAGTAACTTGTCCAAAGTTACAGAGCTGGTTAAGTAGCAGAGCGGGGATTTGAACCCCAGTCTGGCTTCTTAAACCATTGCCGTCTGCTACCTCTGTAGTAAGTGTAATGTCCTTGATTGAAGCTGGCAGGATATAGAAGAAAGGGAGGAGGGGAAGCTTGGCAAACTGGAGATAATGTCCTGACAAATGTCCATTAGCAAGCCACTGCTGTGGCGGAATACGGGCCCAGTGTTTCCAGATCATCCGAGTTTCTAAGAGAAAACCGAAATCTGACTTTTATGTGAGATTCCTAATTTAAAAATATATTGCTGATCAAAGCATGCGCATGCATGCACACATATATGCACACAAACACACATTCTTACTACTGTGGATGACTAACTTTTGAACCCTGTAATAAAAAGAATGGGTATTTTGGGACTTCCCTGGCGGCCCAGGGGTTGACTCTGCACTTCCACTGCAGGGGGCGTGGGTTGGACCTCTGGTAGGGGAACTAAGATCCCACATGTCACAGAGCATGATCAAAGAAAAAAAGGACATTTCCATGTTCAGTTTTCTTGATAAGAGAAAATAATCTAGCTGATTAACCTTAGATGGAAAGGAGAAAAAAAAACCTCATCATTTATTATGCTGTGGTTTAAGCAAGTTAATGTCTCTAAAGTTTTTATTTCATCTGTACATCAGTGGGGATAATAGTATTATCTCATAGGATTTATGTGGGGGGCTATGTTGGACTATGTGGGGACTGACTTGGGCAACCAACTTTTTAGAACATAAATAATAAACAATTATTCAATATATAATGTAGTGAAAGTGAAAGTGAAGTCTCTCAGTCGTGTCCGACTCTTTGCGACCCCATGGACTGTAGTCTACCAGGCTCTTTCGTCCATGGGATTTTCCAGGCGTATAATGTGGTAGATATGTCATAAAGTTATTATATTTTAAAATATTAAATATACCATATATTAGATATATTGTATTATATATAAATATATAGATATAATTGACAATTGTTTTATTACTTTAACAAAAATGCAAAAAGTGTTTATTGGAAATAACTGGAAATTATACATCATTCTGTGTTATTTGGGCTTCCCAGGTGGTAAAGAGCCTGCCTGACAATACAGGAGACATAAGAGATGTGGGTTCGATCCCTGGTTTGGGAAGATCCCCTGGAGGAGGGCATGGCAACCCACCCCAGTATTCTTGCCTGGAGAATCCCATGGACAGAGGAGCCTGGCGGGCTACAGTCCATAGGGTCGCAAAGAGTCAGTCATGGCTGAAGAGACTTAGCATGCACACAACTAAGCAGTCATTTATCAGATGTATCCTTTGCATGTACCTTCTCCCTGTGTATGCCTTGTCTTCTAATTCCCTTGACTGTTTATTTCACATATCAGAAGTTTTTAATTTTAAATAAATCCAGCTTATCAATTATTTTTTTCATGGATCCTGCCTTTGGTATTATATATCCACCGTCTTTTATCGGTTGGCCAAAAAGCTCATTCGGATTTTTCAGTAACATTATGGAAAAACCCAAATGGATATTTTGATCAACCCAATATATTTTCACCTGTTATCTTTTAGGAGCTTTATAATTTGGGGCTTTATATTTAGGCCTATGATCTATTTTGAGTTAATTTTTGTGATGGGTGTGAGGTCTGCATCTAAGTTTTTTTGTTTGGGTTTGGTTTTTGCTTGTGGATATTCAGTTGTTCCAACAGCATTGTTAAAAAGATTAGCTTTTATCCTTTGCTAGAGATCAGTTGACTACATTTACATGCTTCTATTTCTAGGCTCTCTATTCTCTATTATACTGATCTAACTGTCTATTCTTTCACAATACCACACCATTTTGAATAATGTAGCTTTAGAGTAATTCTTGAATAGTGTCAGTTCCTCTAATTTTGTTCTTCTCCTTTAATTCTGAGTCTTTTCCTTCCCCATATGAGCTTTTTAATTAAAAAAACCAACGACAATAACTGTGTTTTAAACCAGGAAATCTGTGGTAATTTGATTTTTTGTGTAATCTTATCTATTTTTATTTGGCTGTGCTGGGTCTTTGCTGCTGTCCGGACTTTCCTCTAGTTGTGGTGAGTAGGGGCTACTCTCTAGTTGTGGCACATGGGTTTATTTGTTTAGTTGTGAAATCTTCCTGGACCAGAAATTTAACCTGTGTCTCCTCCACTGGCAGGCAGATTCTTTACCACCAGGGAAGCCCCTCATATTAACTTTAAAATCAGTTGGTTGATACCCACAAAATAACATGCTGGGGTTTTGACTGACATCACATTGAATCTGCAGATCAAGTTAGGTTGGGAAGAACTGACATCTTGACAACATCGAGTCTTCCTAACCATGGACATGGAATATATCTTCATTCACTTAGTTCTTATTTGATTTCTTTCATTAGAGTTTTGTAGTTTTCATATACATCATGTCCATAGTTTTTAGTTTTACACCTAAGCATTTCATGGGGGCGGGGGTGGTGGTGCTAATGTAAAGGGTATTGTTTCAAATTTCAAATTCCACTTTTTCATTCCTAGTATCTAGGATATAGGACTGACTTTTGTATATTAAAGTGTATGTTGTAGCCTTACAGTAATTACTAGTTTCAGGAGGTTTTTTTTTGTCAATTTTTTTCAGATTTTCCACATAGACGATAACGTTATCAAAATAAAGATAGCCCTGGCCCATGCAGACTTAGCTACATGCACTGTTTTGAGAGTAAATTTGTAAAAATTTGTAATTATTCAAGCTAACTTTGGGTACAGTTTGTGTCTCCAATTCTTACGATAGCACATATTCCAGTGTTTAAACAAAAAATTAAACAGTGAGAGGACTGTGATTGTAGAAACAAAGAAATAAAACTTGAGTTACTTCAATTATGTCATTATATGTAATGTTGTGAAGTTGTTTAAAAATTTAAGATAAAATTATAAATTTAAGATTATAGAGATATTTGCAAGTTACTAGAAATGATCCTGAAGAAATAAACACATGGGCAGTGTTTTGCAATTTTGGATTTTATTGTGAAATTGGATTCTTATGAATCTCTGCTTACCTTTTGTCAAAAAAAGAAACTTAACTAGTTTATCTTCATATACATTAACAGAATTTTTGAAGTTAAAATTAATTAAAAATTAATAAATCTGGTTATACTGTCCATTAAACATGAGTATGCAAAGATCAGTTTTGACCAAGTCATTGACAAATCTGCATAGGTTAAAAATGACTTTGTCATATAGAGGAAAAAAATGTTAAAAATTAGTCTGCCTCAACAATCAAATGCTGGGTTTGATCCAAAAGTAAAAGGTGACTATTTTCAGGGTAGTCCGGTTAAATTTTTCTCTCAAGTATCAGAGCTCCCGCCTCAGCTCCCTCTCTTTTTTCTTCTCACTCCTCTGTCTTGTCTTCCTCCTCACTGCCTCATCCAACTCTGAAGTGCTATTTTAATATGACAGATCTACCGAGAGTGAGTGAGTCTGAGGTGAATTCATCAGAATGGGTTGCAAAAGAAACTAACTGAATGAAAAGTTCGCATCACAAGTAGGGGAACAGGAAAGATTTTAAAAAAGGATGCTTTATCAAGTGGTGACCTTTTGGTAGAGAGTGCTGGGTACAGTTTCCTGGTTGTGAGGACGGTGAGGGCTCTGAATGGGCTGCTCAGGATGTCCACACAAACTCTTGATGGATGCAGACAAGCAAGATGGGAAGTGCTGGGTGGGCTGGTGGTTACTGAGATGAGAGGGGAAAAGAGAACTTAAAATGCACTGTAAGGAAAGATGGTGCTTTTCAAAAACACAGTGATACAAATTCCTCTTTTGCTAATGCTTTCTTGACCTGGGACAAGGATGCTACATATCCAAACAGAACCAGAATTACTCAGAAAAAGTAAGTGCTTCTGGATCAAGGATATTCATGGAAAATTCAAAAAAGAAATTTAAAAAACATGAATAAAATATAAATGTTATAACATTACAATAATATTGTAATTCTAATAAAATATACAACATTATTACAATTTAAGAAATATGAATGAACAGAAAATCAACTTGGTAAATATTTAAAAAGCCACCAAGTGTAAGCATAATGTAATATGTTGTTTGTGGAATATACATTGGTAAGCACTTCTTGATGAATTCAGCAGGTGGCTCTAGCGGTAAAGAACCTGCCTGCCAATGCAGGGGACATAACAGATGCTGGTTTGATCCCTGGGTCGGGAAGAAATCCTGGAGGGTGAAACGGAAACCTACTGCAGTATTCTTGCCTGTTGAATCCCATGGACAGAGGAGCCTGGCAGGCTACAGTCCATAGGGTTGCAAAGAGCTGGACATGACTGAAGTGATTTAGCATGTGTTCCTTAAAAATCTATATTCAAAAAACAAAACAAAAAACAAACAAACAAAAAATCTATATTCATCTGAACCCAGCACTTTCATCAGAGGAAATTACTGTGATTTTGGGGAAAGATTTAACCTTATGAAAGTTAATTATAGCTAATTATTTTATAACTATAGAAATTCTGGAAATACCTCAACTACCCCAAAGTAGTGGTTCAAGTAGATATATTAGAGTCGCCTTTGACTGAAAATTTATCTAGTGATTTAAAATTATGTACTATGTGCTGTGCTTAGTCGCTCAGTCGTCTCTGAGCAGTCTGTCTCTGCGACCCTGCGGACTGCAGCCCTCCAGACTCCTCTGTCCATGGAATTCTCCAGACAAGAATACTGGAGTGGTCACCATGCCCTCTTCCAGCGGATCTTCTCAACCCAGGGATGGAACCCAGCTCTCCCATATTGCAGGTAGATTCTTTATCACCTGAGCTACCAGAGAAGCCCCTAAAATTATATATTGTGTGCTATCAACAAGCACATGGAAATAGGCTCTTAACTTAAAAAAACAAATTACCAAACAATGCCAAGTTATCCTTTATGCTTAGACAAGTAACTGGAAAATATATATTGAAATAGAAAGAAAATCTTTTTCCCCTTAAAAGTCTTCCCTTTTGCTCGTCCCTAATCCATCCCAATCCTGAGGAGTTTATAATATTTTGTCAAATTCTGGCGTAATGTTTTGGCCAGTGATAGATTGGCAGTCTCTGCATTCAAACGGCGTCTGTACAACTCCGTCTCTCTTGTCTCCTACTGCCCCCATGCGGTAGGATTGGTAAATTGACTCAATCAGCTTGGACTAGCTGTTTTCACCTGGTCTGTCTTCTTCATAAGCTCATTATTGCTTAGGCATCCTGTACCTTGTGGTGAGTTAGAGAATGGAAGATCCCAAGACATGTAATTGGGCTAAGGAAGAAGTGAAAATTCTAAGTTTATAGGGAACCGTGCTAAATCTACCCCTCAAGCATGCAAGGTCTAGGCTGACTGTCTAAACCACAAGGAGGGTAGGGGATTCCTAGAGATACAACCATTATTTAAGTCATAGAAAACAGAAATCTCAAGGAATGGAGGCTTTTAAGGTGAGAAAATTTTTTTTGACCAAATCCTTTTGTAGCCAGACTTTTGCCCAGACTACAGTCAGAAATAGTAATAACCATCTGTTTTTATTTGCTCCGCATCCATTTTTTCTTAACCTGATAAGAACACCATGACTTCCTCTACTGAGGTTTTTGACTTTCATGAGCTAAACGTCTTCCTAGCTTTAGGAGTTGTCACATGGTACACGTCTGGTTGATAAGAGCTATGCACTGCTCTGTCCATGGTATTTTGTTTGGAGATGAAACTGCACAAAAGGGAAGCTGTTTCTTTGAAACTAGGTGCACTGACATGAACTACAACTCTAATACCTGGAAAAGTCTGTGCAAATAAAAATTATGCAGAACTCATCTAGGAGAAGACATAGAGAACACTCACTGATTGAAATATCAATAAATCAATCCCTGGAATGGCATAAGAGATGCTATAATGTCAGTGCCAACATTTTGTTGTTGTTCACTGCTGTTCAGTCCCTAAGTCTTGTCTGACTCTTTGCGACCCCATGCACTGCAGTACACCAGGCTCTTATGTCCTCTTCTCTCTTGGATTTGTTCCGATTCATGCCCATTGAGTGGGTGATGCTATCTAACCATTTCCTCTTCTGCCTTCCCCTTCTCCTTTTGCTTCAATCTTTCCCAACATCAGGGTTTGTTCCAAGGAGTCAACTCATCGGATCAGAGGACCAAGTATGTATTGGAGCTTCAGCTTCAGCATCAGTCCTTCCAGTGAATATTCAGGGTTGATTTCCTTCAAGATTGACTGGTTTGATCTCCTTGCAGTCCAAGGGACTCTCAAGAGCCTTCTCCAGCATCATAGTTCAAAAGCATCAATTCTTCGGCTCTCAGCCTTGTTTATGGTCCAACTCTCACATGCATACATGACTACTGGAAAAACCATAGCTTTGACTATACAGACCCTTTGTTAGAAAAGTGATATCTCTGCTTTTTAATGTGTTATCCGGGTTTGCCATAGGGTTACTTCTAAGGAGCAAGTGCCTTTTAATTTCATGGCTGCAGTCGCTATCCACTGTGTTTTTGGAACCCAAGAAAATAAAGTCTGTCACTGTTTCCACTTATCCCTTTCTATTTGCCATGAAGTGATGGGACCAGATGCCATGATCTTAGTTTTTGAATGTTGAGTTTTAAGCCATATTTTTCACTCTCCTCTTTCACCAAAAGAGCAGTAGAATTATGTAATTATCAGAGTGATTATTCATCATTTCTTCCAGTAAGTGCCACTGTGATTTTCTCCATTAGTGTTTCTTTTGTTCAGTGGTTTTCTGTTTCATTAAAATTTGTTTCCTATTTTCTCTCTTACAAAACATCTATTTCATGAAAAATGATACCAGCAAACATCATAGTAACAGAAGTATGAAACGAATACACAATGCAGCTACAGTCATGTCTACATTAAGTACTATTTTGCCTCGAATACCTGATTTCATGTCAGGTGGAGGACCACTGAGTATACTACCACCTCTTCCTTTTTCCTTACAGTTTGGTAGTTTCTAACCTTGCTGATAGCGGCAATCTTTTGTTGTTGTTGCACATCCCTCTGTAATTGCATTTCTTGGCATCATTAGGGTGGATAATAATAGTTTCTTATAAAGCTAAACTTATATCTGTTCTATATCTTGGTGATTCTACCATAGGAAGTTCCCCACAATGATTCATATATATGTATGTATGTATGTGTGTATATATACACACACACACACACACACACATATATATATATGCTATATATATATAGCATAGCAGCATAATGCATGGATTTATTCCACAGACTGGAAACAAACAACCAGTACTGATTAGATGAATGGCAAACAGACCGGCATATTCATTCAGTGGGAAAACCCTCAGTAAATGTGAACAAGTTTCTGATATGTGTACAATCATGGATGTATCTCATAGATAGGATGATGATAGAAAGAAACCGGAACAAAGAAACTTCAAACAACAAAGGACTTCCTTTGTATGAAGTTCTGGAATAGTCCAAACAATGCAAGGGAATGGAATTTTCATCAATGTTTCCTGATGTGAGGGAATGGAGGGATAGAGAGAACTTTCTGGAGTGATGGGAAACTTTTATCTTTATTGGGGTGTGCTCAAAATGAATGTTTCCTTCCAAAGTTCACATGTTGAAATCCTAAATACTGCAGCCCCCCAACCCGCCCCTGCCAGGTGATGGTATTAGCAGTTGGGGTCTTTGGGAGGTGATTGGTGCTTTTACAAAGAGGCCTCAGAGAGATCCTTCAACCCTTCTGCCCTTTGTGGTTACAGTGAGAAGGTGCCATCTATGAACCAGGAATGGTTTTCACCAGACACTAATTCTGCTGGTGTCTCCATCTTGGACTTACTAGCCTTCAGAACTGTGAGAAATATTCTTGTTTATTAACCACCCAGGCTCAGTTCAGTTCAGTTCAGTCGTGTCCGACTCTTTGCAACCCCATGAACCACAGCACACCAGGCCTCCCTGTCCAACACCAGTTCCCGGAGTTTACCCAAACTCATGTCCATTGAGTTGGTGATGCCATCCAACCATCTCATCCTCTGTCGTCCCCTTCTCCTCCTTCCCTCAATCTTTTCCAGCATCAGGGTCTTGTCAAATGAGTCAGCTCTTCACATCAGGTGGCCAAAGTATTGGAGTTTCAGCTTCAGCATCAGTCCTTCCAATGAACACCCAGGACTGATCTCCTTTAGGATGGACTGGTTGGATCTCCTTGCAGTCCAAGGGACTCTCAAGAGTCTTCTCCAACACCACAGTTCAAAAGCATCAATTCTTTGGTGCTCAGCTTTCTTTATAGTCCAACTCTCACATCTATACATGACTACTGGAAAAAACAAAGCCTTGACTAGATGGACCTTTGTTGACAAAGTAATGTCTGCTTTTTAGTATGCTGTCTAGGTTGGTCATAGCTTTCCTTCCAAGCAGTAAGCGTCTTTTAATTTCATGGCTGCAATCACCATCTGCAGTGATTTTGGAGCCCAGAAAAATAAAGTCAGACACTGTTTCCCTATCTATTTGCCATGAAGTGATGGGACCAGATGCCATGATCTTAGTTTTCTGAATGTTGAGCTTTAAGCCAACTTTTTCACTCTCCTCTTCCACTTTCATCAAGAGGCTCTTAAGTTCTTCTTCACTTTCTGCTGTAAGGGTGGTGTCATCTGCATATCTGAGGTTATTGATATTTCTCCCGGAAATCTTGATTCCAGCTTGTGCTTCTTCCAGCCCAGCGTTTCTCATGAT